TCAGCAAAATGTACTCAAGTATCAAAAGTCGTTACAAAGACAAATGACCCTATTAAGAGTGTTATATTAGATATTATATTGCATTATTATTAGTGATGTATAAGTGTGTAAGGAGTATTTTAATGTTGCAGGTTGATGAGGAGCTATTTCTAAAATGTAGTGGAGTAGCATTTCATCAGTTATGTAAAACCTGTACTTGTAGACTTGAGTAAATGTACTTAGTTACTTTCAACCACTGCATGTACAAAAGAATTAAACATAAAATGCAACCGAAGTTAAAGGTGAACATATGAAATACATTAAAATCATACGTGTGTGTGGATTGCTTTTTGCTTTGTTTGCATGCATCTATAAAACTAATTCTACAATGATCCTTGAGTAACGAGAACCTTTTTTTGTGTTTTATTGGCCTTTTTTAGCCCCTTTTAGCTTATTGTTTTGTTAGTACAGGCTTGCAAGTTCCATTATGTTCAACCCCCTTTCCAGCAGATCAAAGCTATTCCTAGCAAGCTAGCTTAGCTCTGATAAACCAACTGTGTGCTAACTTACCAGCCCCCAGAACCAAAGGGCAGACCAAGTTAACGGCTAAGCTAACTGGTGAAGAAAAACAACTTAGCTGTGTATATTTTCTCAAGAGTTGGTGGAGACCAAAACAGAGATAAAAGGACAGTGACTACGGGACAGAAACACAACTCAAAATGAATGCTAATGCTGGGTGTGTTAATAGGCAACTGTTTGCTAAAACTTTTGAGATTCTCTCACCATGTGATGAGGCCGCTTTTAAGATGTTCTTACAGCATGTACCAATGCTAGGTCCCTATAAGCCTAAATGTTAGCATGAAGCGCTGGACCACATGAATAACTTAAGGCAAATCAATACCTCTAAAGTGTGTGTGCTAATGATTGAACAGGTAATTTAACCATGAGGGCAGTTTCACAAGCCCTGAGGGACCCCCGGCAGCCCATCTGGTAAACCACGGGCCCCATAGGTGGCACCAAGAGGCCAGAAATATCACTGGAAAAATAAGTCACTTCATTAGCTACCCCACGTAGGGCTGTCAGCATCACACACTACACTGATTTGAGTTCAGTAGCAGATCTGCCACTCAGTATCCCCACATTCATATTCAACGTAGGCTAATAAGGTTGTCACTGTGCAAAGATCAGTGGATAAGCTTTACTGTCGCCTCCCACGCCTCTTCCTCCCTCCATTTCCTGTTTATCGTCAACTGTCACTATTTAATTAAGAAAAAAAAAAGTTCCTGCACTTTTATGTGGCTTCCATTGAACATGTCCCACTGCACTGAAGTAGAAACAGAAAGAATTCATCACTCAATAGTTGTTAAAAACCCTATCCCCTTGTCATTTGCTCAATGTAAACATCATAATGGAAGGAAATTCTAAAACTCTGAACAAAACAATTTCAAACTCATGTCAACAGTTACTGTGATTAGTGTGGTAATAAGACACAAGCCCCCCCCCAAATGAATATGTCTGCACCAGCACCAGAAACAAGGCCAGCTGCATCCACTGTCTCCAGCTGAGAGCGGACACCTCCTCATACGTCTCTGTATCTACTTCTCCCTCTCATTTCTCCTTTAGCCCCCATCCCACCTTCTGCCAGAGATGGAGTGCCGTGACAAAAATAGCAACAAGACTGTCCCAACAGCCTCAAATGAATTCTGCATCCATCTGTGAACAGATGGGTTTATTCAAGCTCGCTCCCTCTTTTTTTCCCCCTGTTACTCGTCCTTTTTAGTTTGTCTGAAATCTTTTTGGTGCTGAGCCATCTGTCCTTATGCTGGGATGTGAGCCCCACAAGTCAAGTCGTGGGATTAAAATTCAGAAATGGAAGAATCTGCTGGATTATGTCAGCGATTGCTATAAAAGAGACAGGTAAATGAAAAATCCTCCAGAAGCCTCAAAACAGCTGTTTATATCATCTGACACAGTCTCTCCCCTGTTGACTTTGCTGGTAATAGAGCAAAAAACGCAACTGCAATATATAACTACCACTAAGTGTGTCCACTTATTTTGCAGTGTCTGCATCATGAATGTGTTTTTATCATTTGCTCCCTTCCCCCTAAAAATCAATTTCTTTCTACTGCTCCTCTCCTGAGCTCCATCTGTTGGGGTGCAGTGCCTCATCTTGTCCCATTTCACGGCTACATGCCTTTCATGTAGAAGGCCGCACATCTGCTGATGACAAAAAGAGCAAAAAATAAAATAAATGCAAGTGTCAAAGGAAGGACAGGGCAATTGACCCCTCGACTTTCTCATATTTTCCAGTACCCCATAAAATAGGTGTGGAAATTAGTGGGAATTTAGCGCCGCCATTTAAGAGATGGGATTGTAAATGTGTTAATGGGTGTGCTCAGACAGATGGATGGCAGTGTGCACCAAGGTGAGACAAAGAGACGGAGAGAGAAAGGCTCCTCGTCTCATCTGAAGGCGGGGATGGGGGGCTGGAGTGATGAGAGTTGGCGTAAACTGGGTGTAATTGAGGTGAACACAGTAAATGAGATGGAGATGTGGGACGCAGGTGGATAATATGAATGCGGG